TTTTTTTTTTTTTTTTTTTTTTTTTTTTTTTTTTTGTACCAAAACATAATTTTTCGGTGTTCACAAGTGCAGTTCAAACTCTTTTTATGTCAGCTATTCAGTTAGCCAAACTTTCCATTGCGCTATACCTTTCACTGCTTGTAAACAATAGATTTGGATACAATTTCAGTAAAAAAATATCCTCTTTATAACTTAAATATATATTTATGAAAAGTCAGTTCAACATTTAAAAAAAAACAGATTTTTTATATTAAGGTAAAAAAAACCATATTTTTCCAATCAAAAGATATCAATTTTTTAAACACAGTATTCCAGCTATTGGAGCAGTCACCTTTGAACCAAATTTGTGCATAAATTTTTGCTGGAATTATACCAAACTAGAAAAGAAGAACAGAGAACAATAGATTTTTCAGAATTTAAACACTGATTCCTTACTGGAGTCTGAACTTGCAGTTATGATGATTATGATGACAGTGAAAAGTAAAGATTCTACCGCATTTTCCTGTTCGTCAGAAATTACTCTACAGAAAGTTTGTTTTTCAGAAATTTTAAATAGTATTCTCCTTGCATATGCTTCCATAAAATTGACCAACGTTCACTTCTTGTTCTGATTTAAGAAAGTGAACTTAAGGAAATTGTAACGTATTGAATCTATATTCTAAGTCAAATTTTTGCTCATTCTACAATTTGTATTGCGCAGCTTTAGCCTGCAGTAAACTAAATGTTCCTTACATTTTATATCAGTATAGCAAATTTTCTGCATAACTATTCTAGTTAATTTACCTACTACAAGGAATAATTACTATTTGACATGCAAAATACAAAAAAATCTCATTTAACACCATATTTCAAATGTCATAGCTCAGAAAAGACTTAAGTCTACTAGCTGAAATCTCTATAGTAGTGGGACTTTCTCAGAAGTAATTAAAAGCACTTCCAAAAAATGCGATCAAAAAGTTGGGAAAAATTTTTATAAAAGCTCCCACTGCTTCTGGTTTACAGCACATCGTTCTGAAAAACAAAAGTTTCAAAAAATTAGAAGAAGGTGCTCAGAAGACTTAGTTCAGGTACTGAGCAAAGCATTAATCAAGAACTTATTATAAAAACTTAACCGCAATCTGAACCGCCTTCCGCAGCCAAACGTCATCTTTTTCATCTTACGCAATTCCAGTAATGAATCTGCTAGATTCTACGGAGCTATGAACTCCAAATGTACATTTTTTTAAAGCCTAGCTACCTCATCTTGAAAGCCAAGTTTTTGCGAATTCTTAGTGTAATAAATATATTGAGCTAATGGTATAATCACTTTATATTGTCATCAGACATTCTATCTGGCAATAATTCTTAAGTTAAAAGTACTTTTAAGAGTCATTTAAAAAATTTACTCGCATCAGGAGAAATAGTTTAGAGGAAATTATACTTAATACAGTGAAACATATTCTTCATGTTCTGTGCAATAGAAGATTAAATTTATTCTTTTTTCAGATGATGTCATGCATGAATCTCTAGCGAATAAAAGCCTAAAATCTCAAACTTAAGCTGTTATTAGTTGCCTGCATTAGCTACCTAAATTCTGATAATTGCAGAACTATCTTGGGCCTCTAAATCTTTGTTAAACCAAACATCGTACTGTTAGATGACATATTCAAACTATAATTTTGGTGGCAACCGCACAACATTTTCAGAATAAGCCAACAGGAGGACAAATTTGAACTTTAATAAGCAATACTTATTCGGAAAGCACTTTAAGTTACCGATTTTTCGACCAAAGTTATCAACTTTAAAACCTTAAAAAAAATTTTTGCTTGTTACAAAAAGATCTGTCGTACCCAAATAAACGATGTCTTGCTACAAAAAAGGATTTAAAAAAGCAATAAATTTGGGAGGATTGAGTGATAGCGTGCGAACTGTAAACCGTTGCGAACTTTTTTACGTAAGCTAACGTTTCAAATAAACGCATCAGCTTTCATAATCAATGACAAAGAAAAAAATATGAAAGCAGCATAATACATAAAATAATCTTCAATATTTTTGATCGGGCAACTTACTGCTAGAGACTCTTACTTTAAATCCCATTCGCCATTACCTACTAATTTTTTTTCACTTTTCATTCTTCTCTTCTGAGGGCAGAAACTGGTAGCACTGTTGCATCGTTTTGAACGTTTACTTTTTTCACTTGAGTTGACATCCTACAACTGTTTAGAAAGTCATAAACTACAGGTTAGTTAATCGATAACCTTCTAAAGTTGCTAGTGACGTCCAGATGAACCCTTATAATTGTAAATGTGATGCATCGAGAGAACTTTCAAGGTAAAATGTGAGAACATGTACAACAACAAAAACTGGCACACAGAAGTTTCCAACGTTTATATGTTAGTTTTTTGAACATCTTTTATGTACATCAAGTTACCGTAAACAATTTCTGAAAAGAGCTGTTTCAATGAGTTTTTCGGAGTGGTAATCAAGGACTGCTTTTGAATAATTCAACTTCTGTATTTCCAAATAATTTTTTTTTTTTTTTCGTGTGCTCCTTACGGGTAAAGGCCTGTACCTTAATTTCAGGATATTTTTGCACCCCTTACTGCTTCTGAAAATTTATCGGTTTTTATCTGTTCCTGAAGAAATATGTGAACAATACGCACTACTTCACGGGAATTTTAAATCACTTGTGACGTGTAGCATACATGAATATAAAACCTATGTAAAAAAGATGGTACGACAGTACATCAGTACTGTAAATCAAATACAGCTGGACGGATCGTGTTGTTGGCGGAGACACTCAGCTAAAATAGGAGCCTGAATTAGGTCGCAGTAAAGAATGGAACTATCGCCAACTCCTAAAGAGCTCCTGCCCAAAAATGTACTGGTGGATGTACAGGTGCAAACCACTTGTCTCCGAGCTCTTCCAGAAACTATTTCATTTTCTACTGAAATTCCTCCTGATCAGCTTTGGGACTCTCTGCATGGGACTGGCGATTATGACTGATAAATTACCAGGACTTAATGTACAGACTACATAGTTCGGAACCATTCGGCAGTAAGAAACCACTAAATGCTTATTTCATGAACCTTAGTTTCTGCTCACAAAACGTCTTCCCGAGACTGTTGAAGTACGAAACTGTCAATAAGC